AGTATTGACAGTTGATGTTTTAGCGTCAGATTGTACTGTAACTGTACGAGTATAGACTACATTACAGTACTTTATCGTCATGTTATAAATCCCCTTTCTCTAAGGATAGGGTTTTGCTACTAAGTCAAATTTCTTTACAATTTGAATAGACGATCAAACGCCCTTTCTTTAGATTAGGCATTTGCTCTATAGGGCTACTTCTATAGTAATCTATATAATACCTTGTAAAATAATGAAGAAGAAAAGATGGCGACATGATGATTTGGCAGGGTAAAACTTAAAGACACTATCACTTTGTAGGTATTTTGTATAGTAAAATAATACTAATTACATACTAAAAACTACAAAGGACTCTACTTTTAGTCCTTTTACTACAGGATGTTAATAAAATGTTGTCAAATTATGCAAAGTAAACTTGCAAATGAGTGTTCAATCATAATATTACTACTCAGCAATGGTTAATATAATTTTAATCTGTCCAGTAGCATTATTCTTCACATTAGGATATGTAGAGCAGATATTATAATTGCCGAATTACTATCAAAGACTGTAATAAGGTTTCATCCGTGAATGCATTATTGAAAAGTAGTATTCTACAAGCATAGCTGTGAATATAGTAGTGCCCGGCTATTACCGGGATATATATAATGTCGAATGGTAATACTAACTATTAATTATTAACAAATGGGTACTTTATCAAATGCCCCACCCACCCGTACAATTAACAGTACTGTACTGTAGTAAAAGTACTGTACAGTATTGTAGTATTGTACAGTACTGTACTGTACAGCATACAGTACAGTACACGGATACACGGTAAAAAGTTACTGAACCTCTGACAGGTCTATCAAATGGTAACACTATCTGTTAAATGAGCACATTATCGTAAACCGTCAGCAAAGCGACGGGAGTTTGCACTAGTATTGATTGAAAGCTAAGTTTTATAACACTATCCACTTTTGCGACGTCTAAATTTGGTGATTTAATATCAAAAGAGGGAGATTTATAATCATCGTCAATGACGACTTTGTGACTACCTAATAAATTAAATTAAGTATTCAACTGAAGTAATATTTTTGTTTCAGTATAGAAAGTAGTGGCTTTAAATTTTAAGATTGTTAAATGAATGCTATATGTGTTGATTCTGTCAATTGTTCCTTTATGACATTCGACGGCAAGATTCCGGCATTAGTATTATACAATTTAAAACTTCAAAGTTTTA